TTTAATTTCATTCATACTTGCAAGATGGAAAATATTAATACTATCCCTATTTTAGTTGATGAAGAAATTGAAACACTGAGAGATCAGATGAGTTTCTCAAAGACAAACAGTTCCTCTAGGGGAAAGCCAGAGTTCTAATCCATACCCTCTCACTCGACAATCAATGCCTATACCAACAGTTTAATACTTAGTCAAAATGGTTTCATATACTTTATCTTATTTAAGTGATATTTATGAGTTCCTTTAATAGAAACATGTCTCTGATTTTTACAGTTTATTCATTTATTCATTCATTTGTTTATTTTTACCTTCTACCAGAAGGGTAACTATGCTAACCAATGTAATATATTGTTTTGAATTGAGTTATATTAGTTGCAAATACTGAGAATAGAATAATATAAAGAATTTTTTAAACCTGTTTCATCTTTTTTATTTTTATGTAAGCCATCTACTTTTCAGAAGCAGTAATAATTCCACAACTGTTAAAAAAATTTTGAATGTCATTATCAGGTAGAATTATTTTCTTTTACTGAATGCTGTGTCCAGGAATTAGTTCTTTCTTTGGTACTTATCTTCCAATTTTATGAATACTTACAACTGAAGGATCATGTAGCTTTTTATGAAGTAATTATTTATTTTTTGCACTATTGAATACTTTTTCTTCTTTCTGTTGTTAGTGCTTTTTTAGGACCAACGCTAGGTGGATTTCTGTATGAGAAAATTGGTTTTGAATGGGCAGCAGCTATACAAGGTCTATGGGCTCTGATAAGTGTGAGTAATCAGTCTTTTATTTTCATTTTCCTTATATTTGTGGAAACACTTGACTTGGAAAATTCACATTAATCAGTACTTTTAATTGTGTTTAAGGGATTAGCCATGGGCTTGTTTTATCTACTGGAGTATTCAAGGAGAAGAAGGTATGGTCAATCTGGGGGCTTTTTTCTCTCTTTAAAAGTTAGCCAGTGCAAGTGGAAAATAAATAACATTTTACATTTATTCTTCCAGTCTGTGGATTTCTAGGCACTCTGAGGCTCATCAGTTGTGTAGATACTCTTTTAATTTTTATTTTTTGAGATGGTGACTTGCTCTGTCACCCAGACTGGTATGCAGTGGCACAATCTCAGCTCACTGCAACCTCTGCCTCCTGGGTTCAAGCGATTCTCCTGCCTCAGCCTCCCAGGTAGCTGAGATTACAGGCGTGGGCCACTATGCCCTGTTAATTTTTGTATTTTTAGTAGAGACAGGATTTCACCATGTTGGCCAGGCTGGTCTCAAACTCCTGACCTCAAGTGATCTGCCCACCTTGGCCTCCCAAAATGCTAGGATTACAGGCGTGAGCCACTGCGCCCAGGCAGTAGATACTTTTTTAAAAAGATAGTTGGATGGAGATACAGGTACTGGTTTTATGTTTGTTTGTTTGTTTGTTTGTTTTTAAGATGAGAAATATTGATATTCATCTCTTTCCTTCAATGTAGGTCTAAATCTCAAAACATCCTCAGCACGGAGGAGGAACGAACTACTCTCTTGCCTAATGAAACCTAGTCTGATGGATCCTGGATTGATACAAAGTTGAGAAATGAATGCTTCTGGCCTTAAACATCACTGTAGGAAGGGTTTCTAAAATTTTACGCACAAAACTCCGTGGACCCCATGCCAGTGTCTTGGAAGTGTCAACGTGCTTTTGGATGATCTTGTATTGGGTTGTACTTACTGTGATACTGAAAAGCAGTCCTGCTGAATTAGCTATATTTGAAATATTAAGTATGAAAGGGGTAATTAAAAACAAGCAAAACAAAACAAAACAAAACAAAACTTAGTTTTTAAGTGACCAAACTTGTCCTTGAAGATGTTGTTATTAACTTGAGTTAGTTCTCATTTCCTCTGTTTATTTTTTATTCTGAGTACACTAATTCTGTGAATGTACTTTTTTATGAACAGGGAAATAAATGAACTAATTTGATATGCTCTAAATGTATACAGGTGCTTCAAAATATATAGAAACATTACTATGAAATCAGTTTTTAAAAGATATACTTTCTCTTTGTCCTGAGGTTTTTCGGTCTTGTTCAAAAGGAAGAATTCTTGCCTGCCATACAGAAACTCTTAGCACTCCCTGGCTTTAAACGTTTCTAAAAAGTCTGTTTGTGTGAAAAGTACAAGAATAACCATACTTACAACTTCCATTTTTGTAACTTACGTTCACTTAAGATCTGGATTTATAAACATTACTTGGTATAACGTTGTTCATTTCCTTTAATGTCTCTGTTTTTTGGTTCTGCCATCTGTTTTGTTTTTGTTTTTATCCATATTCTTGGTAGATGTATTTCATCCCTAGAGCAGGTCAGCCTCCTTCCCCTAATGCAAATGCTTGTTTTGTTAGGGAAGGGCTTCCTCTAACTTCGTGAGAAATCCACGATGTTGTTAAAGTGAATAAATGTATTGTGTAACTCTCATGCTTCTTGACCTATTTTCATGGTGTAGTAGCCACATTTACAGTAATGTTTTAAAAGAAGAAATGGTTTTATGTATTCATTCAAAAATATCTTTTCAATGTCTTCTCTGGGCTGACACTGTGCCAGATGCTAGGGATTTGGCTGTGATCAAGATAAACACAATTTCTGCTTTTATGTACCTTATACTGGTGGAAGAGACAAACAACAAGTAAATATCAGACTCTCCAGTTATCTTACAGAAATGCTAGGAAGGAAAAAAAAAAAACAACATGGTGATGTGATAGAGTGGTTGGCTAGGGTTGTTTAGATGTGGGTGCCTAATTTGAAAAAGTCCATGGAAGTGCAACCTTTGAGTTGAGATCTGAAGGAGGAGAATGTAGCCACCATTCATTCATTCTGACAGAGGACAGTCCGTAGTATGTGCACAAGGGCTTGACATGGTCAAAGATGAGGCTTGGTCTGCTGGCTGGAGTCTAGTAAACTGGAGGTGATGCCAGAATCTGATTCTGTCTGCATGTGGACAGTGGGTGGGGATAGGGATGGTAAATGGGAATGGAGGGGGAACCTCGGAAGATTTGAGAGAGAATAATGGTTTGGACCAGGGAGTTGGTGATGGAGAGAAAAGGCTCTATCTGGGAGTGGAACCAACAGAATGTGCTGATGTGGAGGGAGGAGAGAGGAATCTAGGAGGACTCCTAGGTTTTGGCTTGTGTGGGTGGATGGTGGTGACTCTTAGTGAATCGGGGAAGAAGAGGAGCAAAATGGATCCTGAAGTGGCAAAAGTTCAAGCCGCCATGGTTTGTCATTGCACACCACCAAAACCAAAAATATGGAAAAGGAGGACAATACCAAGGGTTGGAGAGGATGGCTTTGGAAGACTGCCTGGCATTGAGTGTCAAGACTGGATGTACATCTGTCTTGTGATCTCTTCATTTCCCTGTCCCCTCAAGCCTTTCACTCTTGAACCTACAGAGTGTGATCCAATGTGAGGAGGACAAATGGCCTGCAGTTCCTTTCCCAGAGCAGTGCCAGGACAGAATGTGACTCTGGCCCCCTGCACCGGCTCTCTGGGGAGAGAACTTCCTTCATTCCCATTCCCAATACACCGCTCTCAATACTTCCTTTGGATAGCATTGTATTTAAAGATGCTATATACAAAACCAAATGTACCCCTTTCTCATTTTGAAATTTTGCAAGTATTAAGATAAGTGGGCTGGGAGCAGTGGCTCACGCCTCTAATCCCAGCAATTTGGAATGGAATTTGGGAGGCTGAGGTGGGCAGATCATGAGGTCAGGAGATCGAGACCATCCTGGCTACCACGACGAAACCCTGTCTCTACTAAAAATGCAAACATTAGCCAGGCGTGGTAGAGGCTACTTGTAGTCCCAGCTACTTGGGAGGCTGAGGCAGGAGCATGGCGTGAAGCCGGGAGGCGGAGGTTACAGTGAGCCGAGATCGCGCCACTGCACTCCAGCCTGGGCGATAGTGAGAGGTTCTGTCTCAAAAAAAAAAAAAGACTTCATTTCCCTGGAATAAATGCCCAGCAATACAACTACTGGGTTGCATGATAACTGCATGATTAGTTTGTTTGTTTTCAACTAATTTATTTTAGACAAGAAACTTGATTTTGACAATAAATATTAAATATCATACATTAGTTAAATATCTGACTGGGCATGGTGGCTCATGCCTGTAATCCCAGCACTTTGGGAGGCCGAGGTGGGCGGATCACCCGAGGTCAGGAGTTCAGGAACAGCCTGGCAAACATGGTGAAACTCCGTCTCTACAAAAAATACAAAAATTAGCCTGGCATGGTGGCGCACACCTGTAATCCCAGCTACTCAGGAGGCTGAGGCTAGAGAATCACTTGAACCTGGGAGAAGGAGGTTCCAGTGAGCCGGAGATCATGCCACTACACTCCAGCCTGGGCGACAGAGCAAGACTCTGTCTCAAAAAAAAAAAAAAAAAAAAAACCTATTTACTTATTTTTTAATGATCAAGATTTAAATATGTCACAGATACCCTCTCTAACCTAGCTGGAAAAGACGTGGGTGATAAATTCTTACATAGCCAATTAATTTTCATTAAGTGCAATTAATAATTGAGAAATATCTGTACACATTCATATCAGAAGGAAATTATCCACAGGGTAGTCCCATGATACTCACCTTTTCTTTGGTATCGCTGTCACATGACCCTGTTTTATGAAACAAACCCACAGGAGGGGGAGGCTCAGACACAACATATTTACATGGAGAAGCTAAAATGTTATTTAAAGTATTAACAAAGGAAACTAAAGTCCGCACAGCCAGTCTTCGTTAAGAGCAGCTTGCAACTCCTAAATATTTGCACTAGTTTCTTTCAGAAAACCTACAGCCGGACTTCTAATCCCAGCTTACTTATAGTTGAGTATTACAAGGGACCATCTAGGAAAACATGATGTCATAACAAATTTTGACTTGTAGTTCAGTGCAATTTTATCATCAGTACTAAAACAATTCAGAGTGTATTTCATGTTGACAAAGGTCAACAATAGCATGCCAGACACAAAAAGCAGTATATTATATCATTTGTAAGTTTTTATCAGTCAAGACAAAAATTGAATACCAAACCACTCAAGTAACATTATTGTAAATTTAAAAAATGACAGCCATGAAATCAGTTGTTGCATAAATACAGGTAGGTTTCTTTATTTTCTTTTAAGAGAATTAAAACAGTGTAGATAAATCTTTCGTTTGAGAACAGTACTAATACCTTTTCTTCTCCGTATATTTTCAGAACTTTTAGCTATGCTTATTTCTTCTATTGTTTTCTGTTTTATCATCATATTTATTGGTTGGCTTTTGTCTCTTTTGTTTTACTTATCTGATAAAAATGCGAATGGCTTGGTTGTTCGTGTCTTGGTTGTTAGTGAAGTAGGTCCAGCCTGTAGTTCTGGAACACGGTGTAGTGAGGGAGACAGGGATGTGAATTAGGAAGTAGGCAATCATATGCAGTAAGAGAGCTATGGCATTGAATTGTATGCTTGCTACTGCATCTTCTGAAAAAACAGTATTATTGTAGTAAAGCAACACTATTAATTGGAAAGAACTGCATGGGAAAGAAGGATCTGCCCACAGCTTCTTCATTCATATAACTGTGAGAATTAAGAATTTATCTTAATAATAAATTTATTAAATTTATCTTTAATATCTTAAATTATCTTAAGATCCGCCCACAGCTTCTTCATTCATATAGCTGTAGGAATTTCTTGTAACACAGCACTGAAAACTGGTGAGATGATTCAGAAGAGTGAGAATTTCCAATTTGATATTGTTCATGAATTGATCTTTCCATATAAACAAACTCCATTCAGTAGAACTATGGCATAAGACTCACATTTTGGGGTGTCTAAAAAATGCAGACAAATGCCAGACTTCCATTATTCTGTTTTGCAGGTAGTCACTGTTTACAAGTGGTTTAGCTTACAAGAAACTGAAGAAACAACTCGTAAAGAATTTCTTCCCCAACTGTCCTGTCAGGCATCCCCAGAGGAAGGATAAGGAGGGTAAAGGAGGTGCTATGATCTTGCCCTGCCTCTCTGCCTGGCTGCCACCCAGCGCGGGAAAGGAGTGGAGCCATGATTCACTTTTCAGGGAGCTGCTAAGCTGTTTTCTAGAGTGGCTGTACCATCCTACATTCCCAACGGCAACGTGTGAGTAATCCAGTTACACAGCAGGTTGTTTAGCGTGTTTTTTAAAAGATAGAATGGTGCATGAAATAGGTGGAGTGAAAGCTTTTGATCAGAAAGATAATCTATGGTATGATTGGAGGCAATGCCATCAAGATTAGCAAGTAGAAACAGAATTTAAGTTCATAATTTTAGGAGAAACCATTCAGATCAGGTTGATCTGGAAGAGAGGAAACTTGAAAGACTTTGTGGAGACAGACAGAACAATGCAAAAATAAAGAAGTAGATGCATTGACATTCCTTTAACAAGACAGTAACCAAGGACAGGCGGGTATGTCAGCCACATCTGGATCAAAGCTGCCTTGGGCATGGCCCTTGTAATTGGGCCTCCATCTTCTAGGAATGAAGCAATTGTAATAACAGCAAAAATTATTCAGCACATATCGCCATTTTGCAGATAGGGGAAACTGAGGCACAGAGCGGGCACAAAACTTGCTCATACTCACATAGTTAGGCAGTGGCTCAATCCCAGTCATTCTGGCCCCAGAGTCCATGTCCATGTTAATTATTATCAGATGCCACCATGACCCTTATAACTTTCAGTGAGAAAAAAACTCACCATAACTAGATACAGGATAATACACAATTTAGTTCTCTCTAATTTGAAGGACAGTCTAGAGTGGGATCTGCGTTACAGTACAAGAATAATGTGCTAAAGAGAAAGACTACGTCATGAATATAAGAGTCAACTTAGGCTTTATAGGCTAGAGAATCTCCTGATTCTATAGCTGTGGTTTTTCTGCTGAGCTTGGTTCAGTAGAAATTGTGTCAATGCTCTTGGCCTGTGTCTTCTGGCCCATATAGCTCCTTGAAAGAAAAGCTCAGGAATCAGAATTGCCAGGCTAGAATAAAATAGACACTCCTCCTCCTGGCGTCTGACTGAAGATGCAGCATCCTTGAGCCAGCGACTGCTGGGACTCCTCTCTGTCATCTCAGAGGGTACAGCCCACCCAGAAAGTGAAACCAAAACAGGAAGTCACTAGGGGTGACTGGAGGAGCAGGGGCCTTGGAAGGGAAAGCAGCCGAGGTCCACAGGAGTGGAAGGCTCTCCCTTGACTAAAGCTGTAAGTAGTTATCTTGGGTTGCAAACTTTATTTTTCTTTGCTTCCTTGTTCACTTGAAAATAAACAAGGGGCATTATTGGTGAATTGCTGTGACATTCTCATATTGGTCAATAAAACATAAACTTTTCTATTTTTAATCTATCTTTTTTATTTTTTTCATGTCTGAGATTTCCATGTTATTTTCGTACCATACCCTTTCAAACGC